GGATTGCCATCCATGTCCTGGTCTTCTCTAGTTTGTCTTCAGTGTTCTGGACCTGGGTAGAAATAATGGTGAATGTTCATTTAGTGTGACAGGATTGAATGCAGATGGCTTGGTGAACAGGTTCTATTCATTTCTCTCTGGCTCCTGGACTTCAAGAAGAATGGAGGAATGTCTTCTTGATCAGAAGATTATACTAAGCGTAATTGATCAGAAGAGGTATGTATAAGACCCTATTAGGCAGAAGGTGATGGTCAAGGCCACATTCTTAGGAGGAAGAATATCTTAGGCAGAGCAGATATGGTAGGACCATTCCAGAATTCCTTGGGCAGGTGACTGTCCCTCTTACCTTCTTCAGTGAAGGAAGGTCTCATTACTGAATATTGTTTCAAGTATATTTTACAGTGTATCTCATCCATATTTTGCTTACAGTCATCAGTCGGTGGGTACAATCTTAGTACTCAGCTTGGACGACTGTCATCTCCAGTAGTTTGTGTTAAAATGCCCAGATCTTGGAGATCTAGGAAAGAATAATAGAGTCACATATTCTCTGGTGACTGAATTGAACATAGATGACATGGGTCCTACACTTTGCTTGTTACTCTGTGGATCAAGGAGATCCAGCTAGTGTGGATCTATATCCCCATTGTTCAAAGCACGTATTTATCATCCTCTCTTGGTGAGTGTGCAGAGTCAGCAGGGAAAATCAGATACCATCTTGGACAAATGCTAAGACCTGTACTCTCTTGATGCGTGGGGGTGGGGTATGTGGCGGGGGATCCCATACCATGTAGAGGAAAAGTTGACTTGTCTCCCATACCTTCTTCTCTGCTGTGAGGCCTAAACATTTCTTCAACAGCTTCCAATGATCTGTCACAGTGTAAGATATCCATCAGTTTAAGATGTCTTCAGCGGAACCTTCAACAAACCGGGCAGCAATGTTAGTATTTGTGACCAGCATGTGTGGCCCTCCCATGCTAGACTGCCACCTTGGGGTTGTCCTCAGCCAAAGAAATCTGTGCAGGAGGATGACATCGTACCACTTCTGATGTCTAGCCTGAAGGAAGTGGCCTGGAATCCTTCTGCATTCTCAGATTGTGTTCTGAGGACTTTAACCACAGTGGACCATCTTGGTGTTAAGGGGGAATTCTCCTTAGTAGTTTCCCTCAGGGAAAGTCCTGAGCCCTACCCACCCTTGGGTCAGCTATGTTAGATATGAAATATTGAGAGGAGGAGAAAGTCTCTTGCCCCAGGCTTCAGAGACTAAAAAGTAATAGAAAAATTAGGGAGAAGAAAGAAGTTTCCAAACCCACTTGAGCAGTAGGTAAATAAATGGAGCAGGTACCTTGTGCAGTGGAGGAGCATTAGGCCTCCTGGACAGGGCATTTCCTCCTCAGATTCCAGCTCTTCATCAAAGTCTAAAACAGCCCTACATTGGAAACTCCATGAAGTTCTTGAAGGAATCTGAGCATTTTTCTGACATGCTGGTTAACTGTATCTGTCTTTGTGACCTTCTCAAGCCTCACAGGTGTTGGCACATAGGGTCACTATTTCCTGTGACAATCTTAAAGGCAGGTTATGTGAGTTCCTTGCTCTGGGACCTCACACCAGAGTGGTCTGAGGTTCCTTTACCTTGGCAATATTTTTCTAGTCTCCTATTTCATGACCACAGCTCCCAGTGAGTAAGAATGTTTAAGGTTCTGTCAGCTAGTGGTAGATCTGTGGTTTCCGTGTAGACAAAGGGATGCTCTAGAGATCCAAAGGACAATGAGTAAAGGCATGATGCCCTCTTAATCAAAAGGGAACATCTAGTATCACCTTGGACACATAGAAATGTCAGAATTCCCTAGGTTAAAGACAGTAGTTCTTATGCCTTTTTGGTTAGAGGATAATGTCCCCAAGGCCACATTGTTAAGAGAGGAAGGATTGACCCTCACTATGACATTGAATTAGTTCTGATGAAATCTTTCTTTAAAAAAGAATGGGAGTTGTCTAGGGAAGAAGAGAGTTCTGATACTCTCTGTCTGAAAGACATCTTCTGAGGCTTATTTGGCAAAGGGAGACATTCTGAACTACCTTATTCAGGGAGGAAGAGTCCCTGGCCAGGATTGGCAGAACTGGAAAATCCAGTTTTCTCTTGGGCAGAAGATGAAGGTCCAGTTAACCTTGGGGAGTTGAATAGGTCTCCAGAATTGCTCAGAGGATAATGTCCCCAAGGCCACATTGTTAAGAGAGGAAGGACTGACCCTCACTATGACATTGAATTAGTTCTGATGAATTCTTTCTTTAAAAAAGAATGGGAGTTGTCTAGGGGAGAGGAGAGTTCTGATACTCTCTGTCTCTCTCTTCTGAGGCTTATTTGGCAAAGGGAGACATTCTGAACTTCCTTATTCAGGGAGGAAAATTCCCTGGCCAGGACTGGCAGAACTGGAAAATCCAGTTTTCTCTTGGGCAGAAGATGAAGGTCCAGTTAACCTTGGGGAGTTGAATAGGTCTCCAGAATTGCCTCATTAGCTTTCAAATATTTTTCCCACTTACAGTTACCCGGTAGAATCTTCAGGAGTCCAGGCAGCAGTTGTTAGGGTTCCAAACAGCAGCAGCTTCCCCCCTCCCCAACAGGGACCTACAGACTTTAAGTCAAGGGAAACAAACTGCTGTGAAGCAGCCTGCCTTTCCTCTGATATCCAAAGATAAGATAAGCAGATTCTACCTGTTAACCAGAGATTTTAGAAGCTGTTTATCACAATAGCTTTTCTCTTATCTTAAGAGGGAAAAAGTAAACACTTCCAGACCCTAATCCTACCTGGCAGACTGAACGGAGCCAGGTTTACAAGCCCTGCTTTTCCTGCTTCCCCCTCCCTGATTTTTCCCCCAAACACTCCCCCCTTCTACACCCTAAAGCCCCCATATATAAGTCCCAGCTCACAACCCGTGGGCTGACATTTTTCCCTTCGCCGAGGGAAATGTATCCCTTGTGAAATAAAGCTGTATCCCGCTGAGAATTCTATCTGTGCCTCAGTGCCTCCATCCATCCACTCACCTCTCCATCCCAAAGTTTTAACCTAACAGACGGTGCCAAAACCCGGCTCTTACTTCAAGGGACCTTGCACGTAAAACTTTCGGACTCGCTTGTCATTATTGGCTGCTGTGAACACCACTGATTCGGCATTAAGGTACACTTCCACCCTCTATCTCTCTCCCCTCTCCCATTCCTTTCAGCTCTCTCTCCCTCTCTCTCTCTCCCCTTTCCCCTTCACTACTCTCCTCCAGTTTTCTTTTCATCTCCTTTCCAATCAAATTTGGTCACTCCCAGACCTCACTCAAGGTCACTGGACAGCACTGGTTTGCCCAGCCACTGGGTTGCCCAGCATGGTTTCTGTGCCTCTCCACGCCCACCTTGGAGTCAGACCTGCCTCCCCATCACTCTCAAATCCTTCTCCTTACCTCAACTCCCTTCCCTTCCTCGCTTCTGCCATCTTTCGCCTTCCCCTAACATCTCGTCCTCTCTCTCTCTCTCCTCTTCTCTCTCTCTCTCTCTCTCTCTCTCTCTCTTGCTCTCTCCCTCTCTCTCTCCTCTCCCTCCATTCACTGGCTACTCTGAGCTTCATCTAGGCCTCTCCATTCTACTCCATTCCTGGTCCATCTCAGCCTCTGGGCCCACTACCTTGTTTCCTTATACTTTGGTTCCTACTGGCTGGTCGCGCATCACATTGCAGAACCTCTCCTACCTCATTTTTACTTGCTCGAAATCACACCGGTGTGTGGGAGGTTCCACCCTGCCTTTGACTACAGGATGCTGTGATCACTGGCGGGGACATGCACAACTCGTATCTCCCCTCCCCAGTGATTGCAGGACGCTGCCCTGGGGTTCGGGAATTTAACTTGAATCTGCAACAAAAAAGGGGGACGCTTTTCTTTTGTTGCCTGATTCTTCCCGTTCTCTTTTTTACATGACCTAAGCCAAACCTTTCTCTTCCTGCTTTCTCTCTCTCTCTCTCACTCTCCCTCTTTCTCTCTCTTTCTCTTTCTCTCTCTCACTCTCGTTCTCTCTCTCTTCTCTGTAAGCTTATTCC